GCTAGTGTGGATTTATTTCTACACTATAAATAAACATTTATACAGTTTCCAGCATTGTCATATGCTAATAATGTAATATCAGCAGTATCTTTGTGAGACCCTCACTAGGTATGTGAGAGACAGTGTGAACATTGCCAGAAACACCCTGTTGTCCACCCACTGTTTCATATAGCCTCACCCTGGATGTGCTGCTCCAGATCAGACACCCGGGCCAGAACGTGCTGCCTCTGGGCACTGTGCGCACTGTCACCCAGGCCCAAAATCCAGACTCTGGCCTCTAGTTGCCGCTTCACCTTGTTCCATATATCTGAGAAACTTTGGGGACAGGAGCTAATGAGCATTTTCTATAGACATGGTGTCTAGGTTTTAATATAAATGGCAAAACATCTTATGCCTACGTTTTTTTTGTTGTTTTTTTACATTTACACATAAAGTTAACTTTCACTTAAATGTGATAAAGCTAAAATGATTTTTGTGAGCAATTTTTTGTGATGCTTATTAGGCCAATAGCTATATTAAGAAATATGTGATAGGAACATGCTGCATAACAGGAACGGCCCTTTATATATTTCTGCTGCTGGTCAGTAGGAGCTCTTCAGCATTTCGGCACAGAAGGAGAGAGTTGCACGTGTATCTAACCAGTCGCATCTGTCCGGGCATTAACAGCGTGACGCCAATTATATCGCTTAAGAGGGAGCGGGTCTGCAGCCCGTCCTGGCACGAAATGCGTAATAAATAACTGATCAGCTGACTGGATGCCTCCTGGCTGCTATCGTGATAATAACGAGGCTATTGCTACCCGTTGTGACCGTATGATAGCCGTTTGATTATTTTTCGTTTTCTTTTGGCTGCTTGGCTTGCCAGCGGCCATTCTCGCGCCAATAAATGCACCAGAGACTGCGATGCGCGTGCCAGTGCGGATTTAAGCGAAATACAGTGATGTGTTCACACAGTAAACCGAAAGTCAGAAAATGTCATTCCTTTCATATATATATATATATATATATATATATATAATTTGCACTGATTGCATCAAAGGTTATGTGCATTACAAACTAGGCTTGCCTGCGGTAGCCTACTGAGATTTTTTTCAGTGGCCACTGGCTAAAACACTGTGATTAACAGGAACCAGATCATGAGAGTCAGGGGTTTCTTTACTGGAGCACCCCCATCAGAAAGTGTTATATTGTGATATTCGTCGTTACTGTTATGGACTGTCTTTATCTGCAGTACAGAATCTTTCACAAGCTGTATGCTCAAAAAAGAGCTGAAATATCAACTACTATTTCCATGTGTGAAACCACTGCAAACGATTCCGTGCGTGAGTAAATTGTCCGAATGAATCAAATCAAACCAATCGCTAACAATTTCAGAACTTTTGACAAGAGCGTTTGACCGATTAGATCAAAAGAGTGATTCTTATCGCGATTCTATTTTACAGTCTATGGTATTACCCAGCAAACACAGAACGTTCCCCTAACGTTATTTTTTTGGGAACCAAATACTAACGTTAGGGGAACGTCACGTGTATCTAACCAGTCGCATCTGTCCGGGCATTAACAGCGTGACGCCAATTATATCGCTTAAGAGGGAGCGGGTCTGCAGCCCGTCCTGGCACGAAATGCGTAATAAATAACTGATCAGCTGACTGGATGCCTCCTGGCTGCTATCGTGATAATAACGAGGCTATTGCTACCCGTTGTGACCGTATGATAGCCGTTTGATTATTTTTCGTTTTCTTTTGGCTGCTTGGCTTGCCAGCGGCCATTCTCGCGCCAATAAATGCACCAGAGACTGCGATGCGCGTGCCAGTGCGGATTTAAGCGAAATACAGTGATGTGTTCACACAGTAAACCGAAAGTCAGAAAATGTCATTCCTTTCATATATATATATATATATATATATATATATAATTTGCACTGATTGCATCAAAGGTTATGTGCATTACAAACTAGGCTTGCCTGCGGTAGCCTACTGAGATTTTTTTCAGTGGCCACTGGCTAAAACACTGTGATTAACAGGAACCAGATCATGAGAGTCAGGGGTTTCTTTACTGGAGCACCCCCATCAGAAAGTGTTATATTGTGATATTCGTCGTTACTGTTATGGACTGTCTTTATCTGCAGTACAGAATCTTTCACAAGCTGTATGCTCAAAAAAGAGCTGAAATATCAACTACTATTTCCATGTGTGAAACCACTGCAAACGATTCCGTGCGTGAGTAAATTGTCCGAATGAATCAAATCAAACCAATCGCTAACAATTTCAGAACTTTTGACAAGAGCGTTTGACCGATTAGATCAAAAGAGTGATTCTTATCGCGATTCTATTTTACAGTCTATGGTATTACCCAGCAAACACAGAACGTTCCCCTAACGTTATTTTTTTGGGAACCAAATACTAACGTTAGGGGAACGTTCTTTTTAGGTTATATTTTTGTAACCATAAAATAACGTTCCCAGAACGTTGCATGGTGGTTATTTTTAAATACCCTAAAAATAACTTATAGAAAACGTTCCCTAATGGTTATTTTTAGGTTATTTTTTGCAACCATAAAATAACGTTCCCAGAACGTTGCAGGGTGGTTGCTTTTAAAATAACCTAAAAATAACTTATACAGAACGTTCCCTAATGGTTATTTTTAGGTTATTTTTTGCAACCATAAAAATAACGTTCTGGGAACCAAAAACTAACGTTCTGGGAACCGCAGGGTGGTTGTTTTTAAAATAACCAAAAAATAACTTATACAGAACATTCCCTAATGGTTATTTTTAGGTTGTTTTTTGCAACCATAAAAAAATAACGTTCTGGGAACCAAAAACGAACGTTCCGGGAATGTTCTGGGAACAAAAAATTGTTAGCTGGGTAGTTACAATTCTAAACAGCTGATGGAAAACACCTGATGTGATTGACAAATTTTTGTCGATCGGACTGCACTGGTGGCGCGGCGTGTTTTGACTAACTAAAAAGAATCTGCTCATAAGTCATTCATTGGTGAATCGGACTACAGGTGCATCTCAATAAATTAGAATGTCGTGGAAAAGTTCATTTATTTCAGTAATTCAACTCAAATTGTGAAACTCGTGTATTAAATAAAAACAATTCATTAAAAATGTTTTTTTTTATTGGTCTTATGGAGTATTCTAATTTGTTGAGATAGTGAGTTGGTGGGTTTTTGTTAAATGTGAGCCAAAATCATTACAATTAAAAGAACCAAAGACTTAAACTACTTCAGTCTGTGTGCATTGAATTTATTTAATACACGAGTTTCACAATTTGAGTTGAATTACTGAAATAAATGAACTTTTCCACGACATTCTAATTTATTGAGATGCACCTGTATACTGGCCGCTGAATCAAGAAGCAGCGATGCCCTAGTAGTGTAAGTATTTTACTACAGGTTTCAGCGAATTTAAATGAAAAAAAAAAAAATCTGAATAAGAACCAGTTCTACGAGAAAATACTATTTATTTGTTATATTAATGTTTTCGAATAACCGTAACACGAACATTTGCTCATGAAAACAAATTGTTCATCTCATCTCTGCTCTGCAACCTCTCCTGACAGGTCCACATGACAGGAACAGACAGTTAAATTGTTCCTGCCCAGTGACTTGTGCCTCTTACATCTCGAGGTCTGATATCAGAGTAAGAAATGTGAACCTAGTACAGACAGAAAGAGGGTTCATTGCTGGGGCAAAGAGGCACAGTATGAAGGGCTTCCTGTCTTTGCAGCATGCCTTACATTTTCACCTGACATTATCCTCATCCCCTACAGTACGCCAAACTATAACATGGGTACATTCCAGAGGGACAGCCCCTATGGCCTGGCTTTTTGTATGGTCACATACAAGCCCAATGTAAGATTTAAAATGCAAGAATTCAGTTTAGCTTGATCTAATAAAATCACAATATAAAATCATTATCATGAGAGACCATGGCCGGATGTGGTGCATATTTATGGGTATTTCTGACACTGAAGTGTGAATCTAAAGATCTGGGCGATGCTATGCCCTGTGGTGGACCACCATCTGGCTCTGGTAAAGTGCCATAAAGATATGCATCATGATAGGAGGTGCTGAAAGCCTAGACTAGGTATGACCTTGAGTTTGGAAAATGCCAGTTCTAGTGCAATATAGTGTGTGATTGTGGATATTAAAAGTTTCATTCTCATCGAGACAACCTGTAAAAGAAATATCAAAATTAAGGTCAATACTGTGCATTTGCTTTCAATCAGTATTTCACTCTAAAGAAGTAAATTGGGCTCCAATTACAAACAGTGGTGTTTCTAGCTTCTCATCAGTATTGGGGATAAAAATCAGCTTTACCTACAGCACAGAGTCATGCACAAGTTGTACACGCAATGAAGATCTGAGTCTTTGACACACAATAGAAAACATTTGCAAATTTTGTTTTCTACAATGGATTATATAAATATCCACCTCATCCAGCGTTCTTTTTGTTTTCTGTCTTATAAAATATCCAATTACTAATTTGGTGTGAGAAACTGCTGCAAACAATTCAGTCTGTGAGTCAGCTGTCCGAAAGAATCAAAGTGAGCAAACAGTTTCCAAACTTTTGCAAACCCTTTTGACCGATTAATTCATTGGAGAATCTAGCATTTCTAGTTCTGATTCTAAACAGCTGATAGAAATGACACATGACTTGATTGCTGAAATATTATCAGAAAAAATGTGGTATATGGTAATCATCACTGACATACAGTATGAAGATTTATCACTAATATTTTACTGGTGCAAGGCAGGAATTTCACTGCAGTAAAAAGTGTCTAGTAATGCCCCTGGTTGCAAATGGCAATTCAAGTTAAAACAAAATCAAATGAATCAAGAAACAATCTTGCCAGATCTTTGGCTATTTTAAATACCAGATACCTGAAAATACAATTGTTTTGCAGTCAGTAAGCATTTTATTGTAATTCAGTTACACACATAAAATAATAAATACAAATTACACAGAACATTTTTATCACAGTATATTTCCATTGTCAACAATCACCACCATTTCTACCCTAAAAACATGCATAAGCAGAATACACACACAAGCATACATACACGCACTCACTCCTCATATGTCTTTTCTGAGCTGTCTGAATGATGCTCAAGAGGCGAAATATGAATCTTGCATTGAATACAATCGGTCAATGGGTGTTAAAAGGGAAGGTTCACTGGACAACATACAGTCTCCAAAATGACAAAGAGGGTCACTGTCTGTATCGTCATAGAGTGTGTCACAACCTATAAAGAGAGAGATGGTAAATGGGATGGACAAAAAGTATTTGTCTGCATTTTTCACTGCAGAGTATGAGTACTGTATTTTGAGAGCCTAGTGTGTGTTTTCTTGTGTGTACCGTAGGGATGCATGTGGTCTCCTGGCATCTGAGGAGGCGTGAGGCCCTGTCTGAATGGGTCCAGCTTGAAACTTTGTGAGTCTATATTCTGCTGGGTAAGTGAATATGAACCTGCACACTCCAGCTCAGCAGGCAGACCTCCACAAGAGGGAGCTGTAGTCATACAAATGGCAAGAAAAGATCTCAGTGTAGTATAGATTTAAACATCTTCGGCTAAAGGATGAATTTAGGCCACATAAATTATTTTCACTGATAAAATTGTTAACCCCAGGTCTAATCCTTGGTTTAACAGAATCCTGGGTTATATTTTTCCATATTTTACATTGTACATTCGTAAACCCAGGTTAACGTAATTTTACTTTTTGCATGTCAGTATCAATAACTTATGAAAAATAACATTTGAGCATCAGTTGCTTATATTACTGCACCTTCAACTTTGTCCTAAATAAGCCTTAATCCCAATTATGTGTTTTCGCCCGTAGGGATGCATGTGGTCTCCTGGCATCTGAGGAGGCGTGAGGCCCTGTCTGAATGGGTCCAGCTTGAAACTTTGTGAGTCTATATTCTGCTGGGTAAGTGAATATGAACCTGCACACTCCAGCTCAGCAGGCAGACCTCCACAAGAGGGAGCTGTAGTCATACAAATGGCAAGAAAAGATCTCAGTGTAGTATAGATTTAAACATCTTCGGCTAAAGGATGAATTTAGGCCACATAAATTATTTTCACATATAAAATTGTTAACCCCAGGTCTAATCCTTGGTTTAACAGAATCCTGGGTTATATTTTTCCATATTTTCCATTGTACATTCGTAAACCCAGGTTAACGTAATTTTACTTTTTGCATGTCAGTATCAATAACTTATGAAAAATAACATTTGAGCATCAGTTGCTTATATTACTGCACCTTCAACTTTGTCCTAAATAAGCCTTAATCCCAATTATGTGTTTTCGCCACTGTTTGACTTTTTTTTTCTCTTAAAACCCAGCTAATGGAATGTGCGTGGAACATCCTGGCAAGGTTCTCCAAAAGTTATGAACAAACGTTCTTCCAGTAACACAGAACGTTTGTTTTGGTTGGACATTAGACTCATGTTTTTTTAAACATTATTACTTACTACTTGTTTCAGAATGTTCAGAAAACATCAAAAAGTAATGTTCTCATAATGTTTGCAAAATTATAAAATTAAACATTCCTTTTCCCCATTGTGTTCTCTAACATTTTACATAAAAAAATAAAAAAATAATGTTTTTTTTTTTTTTAAACGAACATTAAGAAATAACGTTTTCATAACCTAATGGGAACGTTAGCAAAACCTTCTTACAACATATTTTTGTTAGCTGGGAATGTTGAAACAAAATACAGCTGAAAGTTCTGTGACTGTACAAAGCTCATGAATATTTAATGAGACAAGCTGTTCAGTTCATAATTGGTTGTTTTTCCACTAAACAACTGGCTGTAACATTCTTGGATGGCATTGTTTACCTAACCCAGCATTAAAAGCAGTGCTAATTACAAGCATGAAACATTTCTTTAAAGGTGGTGTCTAAAAGAAAAATAACCAAAGCAAAGCATGAAACTTTGTATACCAGTGTGTTGTGATTGGCTATCCCTTTTCTCCTGAGGGGACACACTTTGCTTCTGCTGCTGATGTCTTCTTGCCAGTTTTTTCATCTACAGAGACAATAAGCATGAAAGAGATTTTCATAATAAAAACATGTCCATGTTTACACATAGTAATGCGAAAACTAATAAGAGAAAATACCCCGTTATAATGCAAAGGAAGGCAGAAAATACACTACTACCCTGAAAGGAAATCCAAGTCTAATCTAAGGGGATCTATACATAATATGTCATCAGTTTCCTACATGAGGCAATAACACAGCTTATTTCCTTATTGGCAAGCTCATATACTGCAGAAAGAGATCTGTTATCAGTTGCATAAGTTGATGCTCTTTCAATGAGTGTGTTTTTCTGTGTTGGTAGGCATCACATTACCTTGGCTCTTTGGTTCTGGAACCAGACCTGAACGACTCGTACGCTCAGTCCTGTCTCTGCTGCCAGCGTCTCCCTTACCTCATAAAAGAGAGACAGACAGAGAGAGAGAGCCATAGTGTGACCTTCATGGTCTATGGGTCATGTAGGCTAACTGATGAACTGACCCACTCCGGAGTATCAGATCAACAAAGATAGATACAGCAATGCAGTCCAGACCAGCTGCGGCTGCACAAAAACCTCCTTCACAAATGTTACAGTAAATTAAATATTAAAAAAAAAAAAAGGTTAATGTATAGAGACGTAAAACAAAGCTTGATGTTTTATTAAGACCCTTAAACTATTAATCAAGTAGTTTAATTCCAATGTTATAATTTAAATATTTTATATTCAATTATTATTGTTGTCCATTTAAATGGCTGACCTTTCGACATGGTTTGGATGAGACCTCAAAAGAAGCTTTGAAAGCACGTCTCTGCAGTGTTGTGAGGATGGTACGAGGCCTTTTAGGTCTCTTGTGTTCCACGTCTCCTATTGTGTTAGACTCCCCTGCGGTCTTAATGTTGTCTTCATCATCGTCCTCCTCCTCACGATCTTCACTTTTACCTGTAGTTAAGGAAACAGAGGTATGTAATTCCTAACAGCAAGCAGATAATTACTAGAAATAATAATAATAATAAACTAAAGCTAAATAAGCAACCAGTATCTATTGTTTGAATAGTAAAAATTATTTAACAGGCTTACCTTAAGTATGTTAAAAATAGAATGAAAATTGATTTATGAATGGGCATCTATACTACAATTCAAAACTTTGGGGTCAGTAGGATAATTTATTCATTTATAGTATTATAATTATATAATAATTATATTATTTATTGGATTTATTAATGTAATTTATTAACAATATATTTTACTTTTTACTATTTATACTTATTACTACTAGTACAATTGTAATACTTGTAATACTAAAATGATCTACTTCATTCTTTAATCTAGTGTAAGCATGCATTGCAAAGCCAGTGAGTGTATGGCATACCAGAAGTCGTCTCCTTTTTGAAATGTGTGTAAAAACAGTGGTATTGTGTGTCAAATCCTGGTACTGAAGGACTCCAGCACTGCACTGGATGTCTCCTTTATTTAACACACCTGATTTATATCATCAGATCATTAGCAGAGGCACCATGACCTTACTGAGTGTATCAGATAAAGGAGGCAATCCAAAATGAGCAATGCTGTGGTGCTCCAGGACCAGGATTGTTTTAAAACAATACCTGAGTCGGAGGTGGTCAGGCTGGCCATTTGTTTGTGATAGTCTCTGGCACAGAAAAGACTGTCCCCTGTGAGCACACAGCAGTCTCCCTTCTGCAGCCTGCAGCTGCACACACAGCAGCAGAAACACTGCAGGTGGAAAACCGCAGTGCCTGCGTGCATCACCAGCTCGGCCGGAGAGATGACCTCTGCGCAGCCCTTGCACCGTACCAAAAACAACCTGACAGGAAAAGAGAGAAAGAATGAATTAATATGCATTTCTTAAAGCAACTATATACTTTTTTACTTTGAAATATCAGTTTCAAATGGTACATTGACGTCTAAGGTAAATGGGTTCAGTTTCTTTCCCACATTCTCTTTCAAATATCTGTTCTGGGAGTTTGTAAGTTTGGTGAGTGTGAACGTAATTCCGTGAAAATGACGGATCGCATTATGGCAGCAACAAATGAGCGTGCAGCCAAAGCCGCTTTAAGGCAAGCCTCCAAGGTTAGCAAAAAAAGCCTAACACTGTCTGGTACACAGGGAAGGAGACCAGAGGCCGGATTTTTAAAAAATAAATATTAACGGAGAAGAGGCTTCACTCTACAGAATAAACTGCTTTTGAGGGAAAAAAGCCTATCATTTAATGAATCGACAATTTATCAACTTATCGGCTAATTCGCCATTAAATGTCTGTTTAGGATTGATCTATTTCTATTTTTTCTGTACCAAAAAAAAACCCAAACTGTTTTTTAAGAGAAGTCATGGACAATTTTGTTTAGTTCACAGCATTTCTCTTTCATTTTTAAGGTATCCGCAAACAATGATGTCAAGGCTGTGATGTGATTGGTTATCAAGGTACACGGATACAAGCTGGCCGTTACGCTTTCTCCAATGGTAGAGCCATGGACCTTGTTATCTCCTAATATTAAGATCATGGCTGCATCTGAAATCGCATACTTCCCTACTATATAGTAGGTGGATAAACAGTATGTGAATAGAGTAGTAAGTCCGAATTCATAGTATTCATTAAACAGTAGGTAAACTACTACTGTTTCCTGCAAGATTCTGAAGTGCGCATCTGATGGACACTTTACTATCTCATGAGGCCCTGGGAGAGGATTTGCAAATGACTGTGAAGCAACACAACTGACCCTAGGTCACATGACAATGACAACATGACGAATACATCCAGATCACATTCAAGTCAAGTCACTTGACTTGACATTCATACTACACATGCACATCCACACTATATAGAACATACTTTTTAATAGTCACTTGTTACTTACTTATTCAAGAGAAGTACCTACTCAGAGAGTATGCAATTTTGGATGCAACCCATCTTTGGAACAGCTATCCACTGTAATTATGACATATTTACGTGATAAAATAACACAAAACTACATATAGTTGCTTTAAAATCTTTTGATGAAGAATACAAAGAATGATTTTGTTCCTTCAGAATGTTTTTGTTGATGTACCATCAGAGATTCCAGGAATGTTGCTGAGTTGCCCCATCCATCAAGGAGTGAGACAAGAACTTGCCATGTCCCCTCCACCCCAAAAAAAGAAAGCCATGCAGACGCATACCCACAGCATGGTGAGTGTGCATCTTAGCACCTGGCAACCAGAGCTGGCTTTCAGCGGGTTAGACAGAGGTGGCCGGCTCCATGACTGTGTCCGGGGCAGGACTCCCGGGGTGGGGGGAGAAAGGAGCTCGGCAGGCCGTGGCTCCAGACGGAGGGAAAGAATCATGCCTCCTGGTGGGCGAGGCCAGTCCAGGGAATGATCTTAACTCGACTTAACCAAACCCAGACAAAGGAGGGAGCTGGCCCAGAGCCTCGCTGCCATTATCCTGCCCTGGCAGACACCACATTTTCTGTTTGTCAAACTGGCCTGAGATTTCCGTGCCTGGAGGGGGGGATGGAGAGTGGAGCTGTAGTTTAAGGCTTGGGTTGAGTGTGACAGGGCGGCTTAGAGAGAATCATCCCTAGAAGTGTGACAGCTTCAGACTTGGGCTGACAGGTTACTCCTTAATTCAAGACACTACAGGCAAAACCATTGTTTTTTTTATGCACTAGTCAATTTTGACATAACGTCTTTTTTTAGACTAGTGGAAAGAAAACATCCAAAATACTAATTTAAATAATTATTTTATTATACTTTCAACTTCAGATTTCAATTACAATACTTATCTATAAAGCCTTTTTTTTTTTTAAACGAGCCAGAAATCTCCACTTCAGTAGCGCTTACATCAGACTTCCCAGTTTTATTCTGAAGGTTTTTACAGGTTTGTTCTTGCAATATCTGCCTAATTTTATTTCTAAAAACGTGTTGAAAATGTACTTTTTTTCTCAGTATTTTCTGATTTATGGAGGGATAAAAAGATGCAAATCCAAATGTTCAGATTTCTGTTCTGGAAATGTATGCAAATTATTGCATATCTAATTAGATAACATCAACTACAAATTTAAACAAAACAATTCAGAAAACTTGCAATACAAAACAATTGCCTTAATGTACTGTGATTAATCAACTGGAGAAAGTGATGATATCTGTTAAAAATGTTACCCTATTTACCTGTGGTATCTTGCCTTAATGCTAAAAAGTCAAATCAAGTCACCTTTATTTATACAGGATAAGATGCATCAAACGCTGTTTCTTTAAATGATAGCGCCATGATTACTGTATGTTGATGCATTAAGATAAGTTTTTGTGTTCTCTCTTACAATTTGTACCAATTATAAGCTTTCGGCTATAGATCAGTAGGTGATATTGTTGGTATGTGTATCTCAGCTAGGTGCATGCATGGGAGCACTGCAGTTTGTTCACTTACAGACAGCAAAAAATCCTCTTCTGATAAGTATGAATCTAAACATCCCAAAGCCTTGCATTGTTGAGAACTATTAGTGTTGCCCTGGGGTTGCTGGGGAAACGGCTGCCAGTTCTTTAGGGTTCAGTGGGAGGGACAGAAAAAAGGGACTGCTGCTCATTATACACAAGAGCATCTGTGGTATGTGAATGCACATAGCAGGATATGCCAATGGCATGTTTGCGTATTATTGGATGCAATACGACACATGCTTCAAGATACAGTACAATTTAGTTAATGGTTGCATTAACAAGATAACAAACTCAGCTATTTTGATCCGGAAGCAGCTATGTTGATATATAAAAATGTTATTGCAACTTGCTCTTTAGAGCCTGAATCTATTTCTCAAACCTTTTTTGGACATGAAACTAGAAATGTGTTCCGCAAAATATATTGTAATCTATATAATTTCACATTATCATCAATATGAGTAAAATGCACATGATCACAAATAATTTATTTTTAAACTAAAAAACAGACGTTTTTTTTTTGTTTTGAAGGCAAACTTTTCTTTATAATGAATTTATAAAATGAAACCAAATGGTATGTTTGATGGAAGTGCATTTTTAATGTTAGAATTTTATTATCTTAAAAAATGTGACTAACTATGAAAAAAATCTCTAGATTAATTATTTTAATATTTGATAGTCCTAATATAATAATAAAAGTCACAGTAAGTTATATTTTATGCTCCTAATGGCTGTTTGCCATTTAGATTAGCCAATCAGCTTTGACATCACAGGAATAAATCACATATATTAATATAATATGTTAAAATAAAAATAATTAATTGTAATAGTACTTCACAATATTACTGTTTTTACTCTATTTGATCAAATAAATGCATCCCTGTTCAGAATAAGAGAATTCTTTCAAAAACATAAAAAAAATCTTACTGACCCCAAACTTTTGAACAACAGTGTAAATGTTTTACAAAGTAAACTTACATGAGAATTGAGAGAGGAAAAAAATGGGAATTGGGAATCACCAAAGAAATGGACTTCTATGTCCTCTCATCATAAAACAGTAAGAAGTTTGGAGATCCCAATTAGTCCTATAAGTCTAAGCATCACTTTAAATCCAAATTAAATTGATCACCATTATAAAACAGTGAAGTATCTGTTAATAGAACAGCCTGCTGACCCATTTACAGTAAAGCTGCTCCTTAACCTGGTCAGTAAGTGCTGGGTCAGCGAGCTGCACACCCCTGAGCCCACAGTGAAGCACTGGGCTACTGGGTAGGAGTGCCAGCCAAGCACTGTGTATGTGGCTAATTGGTCAGGTCAGATATCTCACGGTCGGACGGGCATCAAGCAGGGGCACCACTGGGCACCAACCTATCCAGATGCCTTAACATACTTCACATGCAGAGATCCCCTCTACATACACCCCCTCCCCAACACGCACACACACAAACACACTCATATTCTACCCAGAACATATGGCCCAATATTCCATTCAGCCTCAGCCTTCTTATTAAGAGCACAGTGGTCACTTCTCCATCATTATTTCTTTGGCTGATGGACTCCTAATGTGAGATGCATCAGCCATTGAAATTAAACTTGAGAGATTTAATCACTTTTAGATGGTGATCAGAACTCAAATAGTGTCCATAACTGCACTCGTCTGTATTTTCCGGGTCATTGCACTGTGTCGTTTCGCACACTGTTTTTTATATGGAGGTGAGAATGTGCATATGAGTGTGTGAATGTGAATCAGAGTGAGTTTTGGGGGTAGTAGGGGGTCCGCGCACCATGTCGATGTGGCCATATGCTGTCCCCAGCTTGCCGTTGCCACGCCGATGGGTCCTGCTAATTTAACACATCTTGACAGCGTGTCAGTAGTGCTGTCCTCCTGATCTAACGGTGTGTGTTTGTGTGTGAAAGCCTCCTCGCATTCCATGGCCCACCGTGACCCTTCCTCCTGCAGTCACCTTGTCTTTCAGGAGTTCTGTGCCAAGTTCCCCAATACACGCAGTCTCTCTCTCACACACAAAACACCAACACTCATCATAAGACAGACTATGAAAATATTGTTTGTGTAAATAGGTATACAATGCATGTGTAATTTTATATTTCAGGTAGATTTAACATTTCAGGACTAAAATTTGTTGTAATCAAATCAAATCAAATAAAAATTATATTTAGCAGCAAAAATTTCCTTGCAAAATTAATTTAACATCAAGTAAATAGATCAGCCGGCAACATAGTCAAATAAACAACATAAATTTTTTAAATTTAAAAAGAATTTAAAAGATTTAAAGTTATTTACTGCATCATTACTAGAGGATGTTCAGATGTGAACTGAAACCTTAACAATAACATTTTGGCTGTATCCTTAAAGTATCTGAAATATTTACATATTGATTATTTCTGTGCATGAATCATTAAAATGTTCTTTTGAGAATAATATGATTGTTGCAGTGATTAAATTAAGTAATAAAATTAATTTGTCTTTTTTTTTTTTTAAAGTCTGTCTGTCACCTCAATTTCGTTGAGAACTATAACTGATATCGTTTTTTTATTGTAAGCCCTAAATGTTTACAAAGGGGAAAATAATCTATTGCACTCTCAAATGCATTTCTTAACTATTTGTAATTTTCAAACATTGGAATATTTTTCGCAATAATCTCTTCCAATCATATTATTTTCGTTTTCTTAAACATTCGATTTAAAAAAAAAAAAATGGCAAAGACAGGAACTAATATTTGAAATTAGCAAAACAATAAGCAACAGTAAAGACCTTTTTGCTAAAATTAATTTAATAGGAACGCCTAGCGGTGTTTAGATTATGGGTGTGCTTCATCTGACTGGAAGAAACTTCTGACTACCGTGAACTCACGTCACACTTTCCCGCGTTAAACTTCAAATAATTCAAATTGAATCATAAAACGAAATCATTGTTTACACAAAAAGCAGTAAGTAGAGTCTTACTTCTGGTAGTCTCGCTTGCAGTAGAGTGTCTTATTGCGGAGGAAGCAGGTGTCTTTTAGAGGCTCGCGACATGACGCGCAGTGCAGGCAGCGCTCGTGCCACAGTCCGTCCTGCACTCGGAGCAGGTACCTGTCCCGGATGAGCTCATTACAGCCCTCACACACGCTCTTTCTCCACATATCTGGAAAAAAGAGACACATTTATAATCCATAACTTCAGCATTTTCAAGTTGTAATTTCATGATTTCATGTGCTTGTATTGGACAAAATAACAAAAAAAAGGGTTAACAACTGTCTGCCTTATGTGTAATTTTACAGAATTGTGTTATAGCTACCTGAAATGACAAATGCCATCCTTTTAAAATTGTAGTTATCCAAAGAAAACGTGAAAGTAAAATAAAAGTAAGTGTAATGTAGGCCTAATTTAAAAATGGAAAAATAAATACTGAAAAACAAAATTAAATAAAAAAACGAAATTCAACCAGGAGCATTAGCTACAAAGTAACAAAAACAATAAGACCAGCACAAATACAGTTTGAACAGATGAGATTTGATTGTGAGTTTCATTAAAATATTAACTTCCAATCTCTATTACGATTATTCATTCAAAGATAAAACGACTTTTAATTGTGCGACATCAAAATAACACAGTGAGTAAAAGCGCATAGCATTAATTACTGTCACATGTATCAGCATGTTTGATCAACACCAGGAACTATAGCTTTCTAATGTACTGTACATGACAAAACTTCATCAAAAATGTAAAAGATGATTTAGAATTAGACATCCACCTACCATTGAAGAGAAAATATATTTTTGCCGCCCCGTATAACTTTCGACAGATGCTCAAATAGTTGTAAACGCGGACAAAAGCCTCATATGAAAATAAACCTGTGCGTCAGTTTCTCTCTCTCTCTCTCTCTCTCTCTCTCTCTAGCGCACACACACACACACACACACACACACACACACACACACACGTCTGGTTTGCTATCCTTGTGGGGACTCGCCATAGGCATAATGCTTTTTCTACTGTACAGACCGTATATTCTATTGCCCTACACCAACCCTACCCCTAAACCTACCCCTTACAGGAAACTTTGTGCATTTTTAGATTTTCAAAAAACTTAATTCTGTGTGATTTATAAGCTTGTTTACCCGTGGGGACCTCAATTTAGGTCCCCACCGTGACACGAGTCCCCACGAGTCTGTGTATTCAGGTTTAAGTCCCCACCAGAATAGAAAAACAGGTACACACACACACACACACACATCTCTCTGCTCCCATCAGCAGGTGGAGAGTATGTAAATATTACTTTACAACTTGTGTTGAACTCTAAATAGCCTACATTATATAAAAAAACTATCATAGTTTTTAAATACATTAGGCCTATGAAAACTATTGTAGTTACTATTAATAATAACTACAATTATTATTGTTTTTATACAATTTATTATAAATAAACTTGACAGTTCAAACATGCCCTAAAAAATGTCACATTAATTCTGCTTGGCGTCCATCTGCTTTCTATATCCTATGCATTTCACATAGATTCACAATGGAGTGCAATCCTGCTAATAAATTTAGATTTATTGTATTTTTCACAATTTGTTCTGCATATTGGATAACAGTAACTGAAAAGTGCATATGTACTATATGATAAAAAAAAATATGGGGTTAAGCTTAAACAATAACTATCTGGCTACTGGTTTAGGTCAGATAAACATATTACAATAATCTGAAAAAAAATAGGTTATTTTCTATACAAATATTATATTTACATGCACATCAGTTCTCTGTGATAGCCTACAACCCAAATAGACAACCAGTGAAATAAATCCCAAACATTTGTTTGGCGTTCATATTATACAGTGTCATGACCAGAACCGATCATATAGGCTAGCCTACCTAAAATTAGTTTGAATTTTGAAAAATGAATAACATAAAAGAAAAACAATTACCTTATAATTGACGATTAATGATTTTTATGACCAATTTATATTATTTACAAAAAAAACATAAAACATGTTCCATTCTTAATTTAAAAAAAATAACGATCACAGATTACAAAGATTATATGATTTAAAATGAACTAGTCAGTATGGACCTTTTTTAAATATAAATATATTTTAGAAATACATTTATGAACAATATTCTAAGACACCAAAAGTTTGGGCAAGAAATCTTATGCGATCAATGCTGCAGACAAGTGTATATAAATGGCAATGAGCGACACACCAGGGTTGAAGAGGACGATGGCTCTAAGGCAGCCTAGTTCTGTCTTATCCATCTGCATATCCTTCATTTTAGACACCAGCTCAGTCAATACCCTGCCACACAAACACACACACAAAGCTTTCACTTGAGCACAATAGTTGTAATAAAAATAAAGATGATACAGATTTTCTGATCATTCTCTAAACAAAGGAGAGATGTTTATTAATTCAGAGGTGTTGAAGGTGGAAAGACTCACCTGTTAAAGATGGAGCCGACACCTGCACTGTGAGCACTGCTCCTGTGGACATGGAGGCCTGTGCCCAGCAAGATGCCATCTTTAACTGTGATTGAGCGATGAGAGAATGAAGCAATGAGGAGCTCGTTCCATCCTGTAAGAAGAAAAATGACATGAAGAACATAAATTACATGAATAGGAGGGGAATTTTTTTTTTTATCTCTCCCTGTGTTTTAATTCAACACAGTGTTCTTTATTAGCAAGGCTTTATGATGTTCTGTGGTGGCTTTTTTATGAGTGCATGTGAAATGTTTGACCAGCAGAGGTCAGCATTCCCACTTACATAACCAACACAGTTCTGCCTGACCCTTTGACATGGAGTGACTATGGACAAAACTAAAACTATTAAAAAAAATAAAAAAAAACCCTTTTCGAAATTGATTTGAAATAAACCTGAAATCAAATAAAATGCCAATATTAGATGAAAAATCTAACATTAAAATACTTTAATACTTTTTAAATAATAATTGTTGCCCTGGCAGCTAACTGAAATGAAGACGTTTAAGTATTAAAATGACTAAAACAGAAATGAATTAAAAGTTATATAGAAATATATAAAAAAAAAAAGAAAAATGACAGAAGCACATAAATAAGTAGTAAAACTTAAACTAGAAGCTAATTTAAAATATTAATAAATACAATAAAAGTATATATATAAAACAAATACTAAAACAACATGGGTGGTAGTTTTATGTATGTTTATACAGATGATATTATTGTGATGCCACATAACAAGAAACACTTGTGATGAAATGTGGCATTATAAATGATAACAGCAGCAACAACAACAATAAACCAAGAAGATGTGCAATATGCATTTTCACTGCTTAAATACACATTTCAGCCATAATATCCTCTACGTTACTACCTTCAGGTATGATTTCAAAATAAAGGCAATATATATATTGCCCCTGGTATATATCTATATATGTTTGCACATGTGTATAGACATATGAGTGTCTTATACCTGCTCGAAGCAAAATGACCTGATCATCCAGAGGCAGATCGGAGAAATTAGGTATTCTCTTGGCCCACTCCACCAGAGTAAACAGTTGCTTGTCAGCTGCATGGCAGATATTAGTGACTGGATCATTTGTCTGGAGAAGGAGACCAGATGAAAAAAAGGAAAGAGAAAGAACGAGAGAGGGTATTTTAGTTGTTACTTTCTCAAAGAATGTTGAAGTCAGCATGTATGTACTGTGTAAATTGTATTTGCATAAATCTAAATGTCTTCGTCTTACTGAGTTGCCTGGACTGTTCTCGGTGTATGTCTCAGTCTTAGGTTCGACTGCAAGTTCTGCATTCAGAATCTTATCCACAGGCATGTCTTCATTAAAACTGCTCGTCGATTCCACATCATTATCACCTTTCTCCTTCCCACGCTGCCTCTCTTCCTGCACTGCTATGGGGTCCAGCAGAGCAGAGTAAAGGAGTACATTATAAATCGTTGTAATTAATGATTTATGGCACATTTAAACAATATTGAAGAAATCTCACATTTTTAATATTACCTTTATCTGTTATATTAAAAATCTATTTTATTTTAAAGTATATTTTAGATATTGTAAGAAAACAAATGTACAATATAATGTATTCTATTATAAAGCAGTTATGTAAGGTTATATAGAAATACTATATAATATAATGTATTATAATGGACAATAACAATAATAATAAGGACAATAACCTCACTCTCTGTATTTAAATAACAACTCAAAACCTACTTGTTTACCCAATACTATCAGTCATAACATGTTCTTTAGACACTCTCCTCATCCTATACTACCAGCTATAATTCTCTGAGTATTTTCGTTCTGTGTATTTTTTTTGTTGCATTTACTATTCTTTGTTTGTTACTTATTGACACTATCCTTTTTCTGTTATTACTTATACTATGTTATGTATCTCTGTTTCCAGTACATAATTGTACCATGATATGCAACTGCAATCATGTCTATCCCCCGGACTGGGCAAATGTCCACTGTCCACTTCATTTGATTAATTGATTGTGAAATTACCGTTTATGATTATGTGAATTGACTGTATATTGTGTTACTGCTTTTGTACAGTGTCCTTGAGCTTGGGAAAGGCACTATATAAATTAAACATATTATTATTATGATTATTAATGTTATTTTAGCATAATATTAAAGCATAATGTTAAAACGTTTTGAGATTAAAATCTCTTCTGGCCACAAAGGCAGCAAAAAGCACAAAACAAAAAACAAAACAAAACCCTTGAATTATCATTGAATTATGGATTCAAAACACACAAATACAAACCTTGCCGCTTCATGCCCATTGCCAGGCACTTCTGGTAGCGACAATATTGGCAACGGTTGCGCTGGCGTTTGTCGATCAAACACTCTTTACAGTCTCGACACGTGTAGGTCAAGTCTTTTCGGATAGTCCTCTTAAAGAAGCCTTTGCAACCTTCACAACTGTAAACACCATAGTGCTTCCCTGCAAACACAACCATACTGAACCTCAGAAGAGATGGAGATGTATCTTGCATTAACTTCCAAACCAAAACCAAATGCAACACCTAAACATCCCTGTGTCGTTGTACCTGAAGATCGGTCCCCACAAATGGCACAGATGTGTTTGGAGAGGGATCCAGGGCTGCTGCACTGATAGCTGCTCATGTTGCTCAGCGGAGCCAATCCTGGTGGAGGCTTGATGTCTTCTGAGTTATTCACATTTAAAGAGTTCATCTGTAAGACAGGAAGAGAGGTGAGGAGAGACGGAAACAGCTTATCATACAGTGCAACCAGGAGTAGAGTTTTAGTCACAATGCAGCAGCAGACTGTTTGTGTCCTTCCAGTACAGAAGACACACACACAAACCGCACAAATCCAAGAAAACACACTCACAAACACACAAAAACAGACTCCACCCTTGCAAGGCCATTGCACAAGTAGCTGTGAGAGCGCTGACATAACATTTCAAATGGGAGGGGATATCTGTGTCCCTTTCCCTCTCAGAAGAATTCACAATTTTTCCATCACATATTGTTTTCTGCAGTACTCCGTTAAGCCTGCAGGTGGCAGTACATGGCCATACCTCAAGCATAAAGAAAGCGTGTCAAATCCGGGATGCGATTCAGTGAGCCTTATTTTGAGTGAATTACTGGCATATATGTTTGTCTGTTGATTTGTGTTTGTATTTGGCTGCTTCTTTTGTGGAGTTAAGAAAAAAAACAAATACACTCACTTTTCACAACGTAATTTCCGTCATATCTCAAATGTTTGATACAGTGTTGTTATTGTTAATTAAAACTATTAAAACGTTTTTGGTAATTGAAATAAAGCTGAATAATGATGCTGCTAGTACAAATATTAGATGAAAAACCAAAATGAAAATTAGAAACCTAAATGAAAAGAAGAAATTTTGCTTTGGCAACTAACTCAAGTTTAAGTACTAAAATGCAGAAAAAACAAAGTTTTATAGAAATAAAAAAAATTAAAACATAACACAACAAAACTTTCTGATATTTACCTTGGTTTTTCTTTACTTTCTGTTGTTGTAACAAGTAAAAACCCATTTTCACACAATAAATATGATAGTTTCACTCTTTGATCACCAAGTGTTTTAAAAAGTCTAATACATTTTTAATACATGTTATTTTATTTTAAGGCATTTTTGCCTTTATTTTGGGAACATTACAATCCACCCGGGACAAAAAAAAAAGAGGCCAAAGTTGAAGAAACACCCATGTACAGGATGTCAGAAGAAGAAACACCAGGCACAGCTAATGGCGCATGCTACCAGCAATACAAGATTTAACACATTTTCTTTTAATTTCAATATAATTTCAAGTACATTTAGACCCTGTATGTCAGAACACACACACACTTACTTGCCCCATATACTGTAAATTCATAGTTATTGATGTCCTTTTATTGGACTAAAAGCCTGAAACGTTTGTCTGAGTCAATGGCTTTCTCTGGCCTCCAGGGAGAAATGAGACACACATAAGCTGACCTCTTTTAACACCAGGGCATCCATACACTCTTAGAAAATAAAGGAACACAAAGCTGTCAGTGGGTCGGTACCCTAAAGTACAAAAGCTAAAATGTACATCTTTGTACCTCACTTGCAGTTGCCTCTAAATGGTACATATTAGTAGCCTTTTAAAGGGGTCATATAATGTTGCTAAAAATAACATTATATTGTGTATTTGGTGTAATGAAATGTGTTTATGCGGTTTAAGGTAAAAAAAAAAAACATTATTTTTCACATACTGTACATTATTGTTTCTCCTCTATGCCCCACCTTTCTGAAAGCGTCGATTTTTACAAAGCTCATCGGCCTGAAAAGCGAGGTGTGCTGTGATTGGCCAGCTAGCCAGTGCATTGTGATTGGCCGAATACCTCAAG